GGTGACCTACGGCTACATTTTCAGATGGCGACTCCCCCAGGGAGGCAGAGTAGTTGCTATTTACAGACAAATCTAGATCCACAGTGGGTGGATCCCCAAGAGGAGGCAGAGATGATAGGCTATGTGACATGTCCATATCAGCCATGGAGAAAAAGACGTCCTCTGTCCAAACAAGAAACAAATTAAACAAGTATTCAGCGATTCAAAAACAGAATGTAGAATTAAAAGATATGTTGTACTGAACTAACCTCTGCTGGACACCGTTCTGGTGGTCTGGCTTTCAAACAGGTCCTGGTCATTGGCAACTGTTATGGTGTCTTTCTTCAGGCAGCGGTTGAGCTCCATGTGGAGGCGATACTCATCCTCCTGCTGCATGGGCCGACTCTTCCTATCCTTTCCTATAGCAGACCACTCCTGTCCGGCTGTATATAAAGAATTTAATAGAAGCAATCGTCATATTCACTGGAAACCATTTATCGCCGACTTTATTTAATGAGGAAACCTTAAGGGAAAATCATATATGAATAGAACAAATTGTCACCTGAGCTAGAGAAAACCCCAAACATGTCCAGTAGGAGGTGAACTTGTTGTGGTGAAAGCAGCATGATTAGAGAATCAAACTGCCCATCAATATCCAACTGTGAACAGACCAGTCATTTTAACATTTTATTGTTAAAAATAAATAAATCATGCCTTTTTTGTTGTGACAAATCCATTCAGAAATACAGTCATCCTACAATGTACTTGGACAAATAAAAGATAAATTTAGATTTTCAACCAGCTTTGCATTGTTTCAATGTAGTTAGTATATGTAAGCAAACAATGTGTACACTTTCTCCGTGTTGCCTGCACCCAAAAATCCCAGTTTATTTGTCAGAAAAAGTCAGCCAGATAAAGCAACACACATCAATTTGGGTTTTGTTAAAACTTGTTAAAGCTACAGATTGAACTTCCACATTTGTTCCCACATTTTGTCGTATTGACAGGAGTGCGTGCCAAAATCACAAGTGCATTATGAGTGTTGAACTTTTGAGTGTATGAGTGCCAAAAATAGTGGAATACATTCACTCAAGGAATTAGCATTTCAACAAAGGAAGGCAGGCATATCTGTGCAATATTTTTATAGAAAGAAAGAATTAAAGCTACTGTATATTTGTAACTGTGTGGTACTGTATATGTACCCACCTTAGCTCCGGGCATGGCTTCATTTTGCTTCAGAACCACGGACAGCTCCAGTTTACCGCTAAGGCAGCCCACCTGCACTGGTTCAAACAGTGTACTGGAAGACACAGGTTCTGGAAACTGAGGGTGAGGCTCACAGATGATTTTTGGGTTCCAACTTGGCGAAAGCTTGGGTTCAGTCTCCTTTAACGTATAAAGAACATATGTCTTAGCGAGCTTTGCAATTGTTCTGCTAAACAGCAACAATTGTTTTTTTTTTACTTCAAGTTATTGTACTACTATAGGGTCAAGTTAGGCTAAGGTTGCACAACTATACTTACTATACTTGTGCAAGATGATTTTTAATTACAGCAGTACAGATACTCACTGTTTGAGTGGGGGATGATTTGAGGCCGGCACGTGCTGATTCTGAAAACTCATCCCAGAACACATAAGCACCTTCCAGTGTGAGGTTTTTATGTGCAAATGTAGTGGGCTGATGGATATTGACACTGGAGCCCTCCTCCACACTCTCATCAAAATAAACCATCCTAAATATCACAAAACGTACAGACAGCATGGTGATGATTCAAAAGAAAACATATCATATTGTAGTGTCAAAAATATTTAGTTACATCTCTAGAACTTACTTATTGATTCGGAGTTCAAGGGCAATGCCAGTTTTAGAATTTTCAGGAACGTGTTCCATCCGCAGAACAGTATCCACAAAAGTGACCTTGACTCTTCTCAACACTAACAGAGAGAACAGGGAAAGGATCAGTCACTGACAGGAAATCACTGAAAGACAAAATCTGATTTAACAATCAGGCAATCCATCAATCAGTCAATAAATAATTAAATCTTACATTAAAGTGATTTTATGGTCTACAGGAAGAGGCATACCTGTCTCAATAGTCTCTGCAAACTTTTCCAGACCCTCTAGAGGTTGCAAGCTCTCTCCCTGATCATCAGTGAGTCTTTGGCTTAGACACTCTTTGGCCAGCTGCATACTGCTGGTCATGAAGCTGGACCAGCACATGGGCTCCATGCCTGATGCTAAAAAAAGATTGACAATGAACATAAACAACATTAATTTCAACATCAAATGGAAAATCAACCTATGTATTTTCTATCTAAAGAAACCTTAATGATTTTATTGTGAACAATTAATTTATATATATATATATATATATATATATATATGTTTCCTGTTTTAATATTTGACTTTGTACTTTTTAATTGAAATGTAATAAATAATAATCAGATCATTCAGATCTCCCTTTATCGAATCATCAAACGATGGATAGAACCAAGTCCCTGACAAACATTTTTTTCTTTTTCAATATTCTGTTTCACTCAGAAGTACATCACAAAACAAAATAAATTATCTGTCGCTACTTTTTACATCTCAACTTTAAAGATGAACAAAGAAAAAGATATAGAATTATAAAATAATTTATTAAAATCACTATAAAATTATTAGAAAAATATATCACTAAACTGATCAAATATATTATAGAGTAAACATATTGTAAATTAGAATAAACACACACACTGTACATTTTAGAATGCACAGCACTGCAATTAAACATGTCAAAATGATGGCATGTCATCTGAAAAGAATTACGATTTCAAAGATGTTTCCTACCCATTCGAGGTCTTGGCCTGAACACCATCTCCAAGCCCCTCACTTCCAGTGCGCAGTTGTCCTGCAGCAGTGAGGCCCATGGCACAGTGAGAGAAATGGCCTGGATGAAGCCCTCACTCACCTCAAATGGTGCATCCACAGACTCCAGGATCTCATTCAGGGACTGAAAATGCATGAAATATGAAAGTCACAGACATTAAACTGTGGATAAACATCTTTTTTGATTATTACTTGGGGATAGGTTGAAAATCCTATTAAGAAAACCACTCTCGGTTATATCCGGTAATGAAATGTCAGATTCCATTAGTGAAAGAATCCGATAAGACATCTTTAATCAAATGTCAGTTTAATTATGTGTCCAGCTGGGTCAGGTGCATACTAGTATAATTTTGGAATCAAGAAAGGGTCAATAGCACAAAATGTACAGAACTTACCCATTTGTCCAGCGGCACTTGAGCAAGTGAGCCCGTGCCTTGATAGAGGTCCAGACTAAGCTGGTCCAAACTGAGCTTCTCCTGGAGGAAATTACCAAGATATCGATGCAGCAGGTACCTGCAGGCCCGCTTCTTAATAGACTCAGAAAATGGCCATGGCATCTTGACCGTCACTTGGGTTCAGTGTGTACTGAAACAAATTAGGACATTCAAGGCATTAAATGCCACATATACCCATCAGTGTTATTTTACTCAATCCAAGCAGCTGAGTCCTTAGCCATCTTCAAAGAAATCTCTTCCTTGACCTTCTAACACTTGCACTCTCTATTCTATTTCTTTTTTTATCTACTTGTTTTCTTTTTATTTGTTTAAAAAAATACTTGACCCTCTAACACTTGCACTCTCTATTCTATTTCTATTTTCTTTTTTATTTATTTATTTTAAAAACTTGACCCTCTAAAATTTGCACTCTCGATTCTATTTCTATTTTACTTGTTTTCTTTTTATTTAAAAAATGGACTAGCTTTCATAATTCTTTTTCTATTCCATCTACTTGTTTTCTTTTTATTATAGAAAATGACAATCTAACACTAGCGTACTCTATTCTTTTGACTTGTTTTCTTTATATTTATTTAAAAAATGACCCTCTAACACTAGCGTTCTCTATCTATCTACTTGTTTTATTTTTATTTATTATAAAAAAACACTTGCTACATGTACTGTGTTAGACTAATGAGACTTGTCACAGCACTTACATAATATTATTGCTCTTTTAATTAACAAAAAAATTTCAAGTTCTTTATGGTTTTGCTTTTAGTTTTAGAGTTAACGATAATAACTCTGATTCCCCTTTAACATTAAGTTTGCATTAAGCTGGAACAGTACACATTAAAAACTTACATTATATAAAATACATGATACACACAAGTGCCATAAATCCTTGTGGAACTGATTAAAAGAAAGTGAACTTGACTCACACAAAACACAATTATTCAGTGAAGGGTTGTCGATGACAACGAGTCAGTATAAATCCACATTCTGACTCTAGCTGACTAATGCAGACCTCCAACTGATGTGGCTGCCTGAACAAATCACATCTGCAAAACATTGATGCAAAGGACTTCTAGAGCCTGAGATTGCTTTGGCAAACCCATCAATTCACAGCAAATGATTGGCATTAACTCAGCTATTTAATGTGTGTACTCTAGTACAGCATCAGAAAGCCTGGTTATGATGAGGTCGTTTAAAATGGACATGCAGTTGTGTTTATTTGTCTGACATGACTGACGTTGCTGTCTGGCCCATATCTATATATACAGTATAATGATAGCCACCAGTGTTTGCGCAATTCCCTAAAGATTAGCGAGTTTGTTTGGCTGCTAACAATGCCAAATCATGGAGTCACACATCACAGCAGCCAAAAAGGGTTACAATTTGACCGTCTCTGCTGTGGTTATTTAAATTCAGAATGAGAAAGGAAAATAACTTACCTGTATTACAAAATAGCTGACTAACCGTTGTTCCTTGGCTTAGGGTGAACTAGCATGCTGGCTAAACACAATCCTTTGTACCTTCATTCAAGTTTGTCTGTTCAACTGATGCATCTCTCGGTAATAACAGCTATATTAAACTGAAGATGGGAGTCCTCGTGCGCATTATGAGTGGCTGTCGGCTCGTGTGAAAGCAGCATCTCTGTTTGTCTGCTTATAAGGCTAACGATGATGTTTACAAACACGCTCGTGACTGCGCAGTCTCTCTCGCGCGCGCCGCTCCACGCGCGGTGTGTTCACGAGCATCCGTTCTACGCAGCTGCTACACGGTCCTTCCACGCGGCTACAGGAGAGTGTTATTTTCACTACAGACTGGAAGAATTTTTTATAAGAACAGTGAAATCGCTTTATTTATGGTAAGTAAGCTTAAATCACACGGTGTGACTGATTTAGCTGATGATCTGAAGTCAAGTCTTATATGAGTCTATTTCTTTAAATCTGTGATCTAATTCGTTACACTGTGTTTACATTCAACAAACTGATAACAACATGGCACGATATAATGTTATTCTGATAGGGGCTGAACTGCCAAAATTCTGAGATTTGTTCTGCACTGCTTATCATTTCCATACGTTTTTTTTTAAATCATAAATTAATTTTAATAGGCATCTTGCCACTGTTTCGTTGGCGAGTTTTCTGAAGTTTGGGAATTAATGTTTATGGCATCAACTCCATTTGCTTGCATGTTGAGTCCAGTAAAACATCCACTGGGGATTTTCAGTGTTAACACTTGAGGAGAAGCGATGTCACTACTGCTTACGTTACTGATATGATAACGAAAATAGTAAAATGTAAGAAAATAAGACGACGTTATAAAATGTAATAAAGTTCATAAACTGTACTCGGTTCTTTGGACTGTAACTACGCACTGATGTTATTTGTGGAGAATGAAGAATTCTCTAGAAGCCTCTCCGCCCCCAAAGCTCGCACATCCACCCGCACAATTTGTTATGTAAGGAATTAATCTACTAGCTTTGTATTCTCATATACAGCTAAATTACAGATTTAGATATTATTATTATTATATTTTTAAAAATATGTTTCCCCAATAAAATCATAGATACTGTAACGTTTGTCGAGGCGGATACGCAGAAGCTGCACTTCGCAACAACGGCGCATAATTGACACACTTGAGTCCTAGCCGGCATGAGCCGGAAGTGTTCTGGCGAACTACCCCCGGAGGAGGTTAGTAGCTCATAAAATGATGATAATAAATAAATATTAACCGCTCCAGACTGTATCATATAACCTTGTTGTTTATGTGGTCATACAATTATTCTGTTACTATAACCGGGAGCTTGCGTTATATGGAACTTTTACTCTGCGAGAGCCTCGGTTGGCAGCATTAGCTAACACTTTACAGATTTCCTTTATGCAAATGACTTCATACATTACACATTAAAATGTGTGTTAAATGTTTGTTTCTTCCCCCTAAAATCTTACTAAAATTTTAAATAAAGTAAAGGTACTTCGTGACTGGTCAGTTAAGGAATTTGTCAGAGGTGCTCGCGCCCCCTCACGATCAGACGGCGTCAGATGTGTGTGAACATGCAGCTCGTCTCTGCGAAGCGTTTGTCTGATGCTCGATGAGCTGAAGGCTCGCTGGTGTTTTCAGGGGATGGAGGTGGACTGTCAGCCGGAGGACCTGTCGAGGTGCTTGTATGAGGAGCGCTGTGTGGAGCTGGGGGAGGTGAAGGACATGAGGCTGGAGGCTGAGGCGGTGGTCAATGATGTGCTCTTCGCGGTCACAGACATGCACGTCTCTCACAGTCTCTCCAGCGGACTGGATGTGGCCTACATAAACGTGGAGACCAGAGAGGGAAACCGATACTGCTTAGAGCTCACCGAGGCAGGGTTAAGGGTGAGTGATGCCAAACATGTAAACAGGTTTTTCATTTTAAGACTGACAGTTTGATGTTTTCCTGAGGATGAGGATGGGGTCCACTTTGGATCTAGGCACCTTACCACCCCCTGGTGGTCTTCGGTCATTTTATTTAAAGCTGCGGTCCATACGTTTTGCCTCTTTGTCGCCCTCTCTGTTTGAAAACCTGCAATTGCAGCAACACTAGCGTACTCTATTCTTTTGACTTGTTTTCTTTATATTTATTTAAAAAATGACCCTCTAACACTAGCGTTCTCTATCTATCTACTTGTTTTATTTTTATTTATTATAAAAAAACACTTGCTACATGTACTGTGTTAGACTAATGAGACTTGTCACAGCACTTACATAATATTATTGCTCTTTTGATGGTTTTGATTGCTTCTATTGTCCTCATTTGAAAGTCGCTTTGGAAAAAAGCATCTGCTAAATAACTAAATGTAAATGTAAAATGTAAATGTAGTAGGCAAATTTGAAACATAATTATAGTTTTTATAAATATTTTGAATTAGATTGTATATTTTAATTTAACTTCACTTAATTTTAATAATTTTTATTGTTTTTTTACTTTGTCTATAAAGTATTTCTTAACTTTTATTTATTAGATTTATTTAGTTTTAGTTATTTTTGTACTTAAAGGAATATGAGAAATGTTGCCTAGGCACCCAACTTAAATAAATTAACTTTAGTTTATATATAAA